TGTCACTCCCCATAAAACCTATGGTTTTGAAGAACTGAAGGCCAAGCTCATTTGAAAAAAAACACACACTTGACTTACTTTCCATGATTAACAAGGTTTCCCATGGGCAAGGGGAGATGGAAATGGGGACAGATGCAGAGATGTCAGGTTACGGCAATGAGAATGATAAATGTGATGGCGATGGAAGTAATAAAGGGAAAGCAGTAAAGAAAGGTGAAGAATGAAGTTTAAAAACAGGATTAAACCAGTGCACGTACAGTTGTCCTCTCTCCTGTCAAGCCAGCCTGACCCAACCATCTTCATGACGAGGATGCCCAGAAAAATCAGCAGCAGCACAAAGCTGGCGAGGCAAAGGAACTGGGAGAGGTAGTATTCGAGGCCTTTGCCTTTTCCGTCTGTCTGCTGCTTGGGGGCTGACCGCAACAAGTGAGTGCGGGAGGTTATTCCCTGACCTGCTCCCGACGCTTCCCACCGGCTCCCCGAGGCCAGCCCTGCATCGCTCGTAGCCCTCCATGGGAACCGCCGGATCAACCCCCCTCCTCGGCTGCCGGGCTGCAGCTCCCTGTCTGCCTCCTTCCGAACACTGGAAGCCAAATCCTCATTCCCCTCTCCCGAACTGGTGACTCAACCCCCCAGGTCCCATGGAGGTGCCCCAGTGGGTGCTGGGTGTCACCTCGCTTTCCCGCCTCCACGAGCTGTTGGAGAAAAGCCCCTTCCTTTCCCCCGCTGTCTCCCACTGAGCTCGGGAGCTCTGCCCCCCAGTTCCTCCTCCTGATGTGCCCCAAAGGCTCCTGTACTTCAGACCCGCGCTCTCATCGCCAGAAAGGGGTTTGGAGCTGAGCCCCCCACTCCTGCCTGTGGAGGTACCCCAGGAGGACGTGGAGCTCAGCCCCCCAGCCCCATCCAGGGACGTCCCCGACGCAGCCCCGATGCCGAGCCCCCCACTCCTCTCTGCAGACGTGCTCCACTGGGTTGTGGAGTTTGACCCCCGAAACCTGTCCAGGGACGGCCTCAACCCAGTGCTGAGCCCCCCACTTCTCTCTGTTGATGTGTCCCACTGCAACGAGGTGCCTGAGCCCCGAAACCCATCCAGGGATGGCTCTGACCCTGCACTGAGCTCCTCACTTCTCTCCGTAAACGTGCTCCAATGGGACGTGGAGCGTGGCCCCCGAAACCCATCCAGGGACGCCCCCAGCCCAGTGCCGAGCCCCCTGCTTCTCTCTGCCGACGTGTCCCACTGGGACGTGGGGCTCAGCCCCCCAGACCTACCCAGGGACGGCTCTGAGCCAGCCCCAAGCCCCCCACTCCTCTCTGTGGATGCGTCCCACCGCGGGGGGGAGCTCAGCCCCCCGAGCCCGCCCAGGGACGCCCCCAGCCCGGCCACAAACCCCCCACTGCTCTGTATAGAGGTGTCCCACTGCGCCGAGGGGCTCAGCGCCCCAAAGCTGTCCCGGGACAGGCCTCCCTCGGTCCTGCCGCCGAGCCCTCCGCCCCGGCCCGGGGGGGACCCCCGGGAGTCCCCCCAGGACAGCCCGCCACCCTCCCCAGACGTCCCCCAGCGGGACGCGGG